TATATATGTGTGTGTGACCAATGAAACACGGTTAAGTTTAGAAGTTAATCAGCCATAAAAACAACCCTTGATGGACGTCTGGAGCGAGATATGAAGTGTACGTAAGGGCCAACGCTCACATGACCTCTGTGCTGGAGAGCGGGGACACGTGTTCATTATGAACATGCAACACTGAGGTCACAGTGGACCAATAAACTTTATTAAACTTGCATTATTGTGGCACTCCAAGCTCAGTGGGAGGCTTGAATGACAAGCGGCGAGAAATCGTTTACCAAAACTGGCCACACGCTAAGAGCAACTTTTGCTCAAGTCTGCCTAATCTAGTAAAAATAAGCAGAGCAGGTAAAAAAAAAAAAAATCCTCTATCACCCAACGAGTTTCAAAAGTACGTGATGAAGAGGACAGCACAATCTCAGGGCGCAGGAGGAAGATCAAGATGGCGATCAATAACTTCCTGGTAGGCTACTGTATTTATTTATGGCTTTAAACAGCCGTGCTACAGGCACTGTTCAGAAAATACTGTGCGTATTTGTGCATGTTACGGTACATATTAAAAATCTTTCTGTGTATATATAGCTCACGTTACAACATGGACACTCGTGGCTAGACAAGTGCGGACTATATATATATATATATATATATATATATATATATATATATATATATATATATATGTACAATATTTATATTCAGGTGTGCTCAATAGTCTGGAAATGACGGTAATTAAACTTCAGAGTAAATCCAAATAAAGATTGCTGCCAGTCAGTTGCACAGTTGATCCACATTAACCTAAACATAAATGACTATCGCTGTGTCAGTTATATGCAGCTAAAATTTGAAGTGGTAGTAGCTGTGACTCATCCCCAACACATCACCTGAGCAGTATAGTATAGTGTAGTATCTCACAGTATTACTATATACTATTGTTTTCAAGGTATTCAAAGATTTCAGTCTAAAACTTTGACCTGAAAAACAAAGGGTCTTTATTTGTATTAATTTATTTAATTCTATTATTTATCTTATACTGACACTTCTGAACTCCCTTTACAGGGAAAGCAGCTTAAACACACATATCCGCTCCAGAGTGCACGTAGCTGTCCAGCCGTTTGACTAGCTGTCACTGCGTTTAAAGTAGCCAATGAGGCAAAGCAAGCAGTAGCTGTCACATCGTGCACACCGTCAGGGACAGCAGCTGGGAGCCACGGTGATGGACGTCTGGAGCCAGATGTGAAGTGTACGTAAGAGCCAACGCTCACATGACCTCTGTGCTGGAGAGCGGGGACACGTGTTCACCATTATGAACACGAAACACTGAGACGAACACGTCAAATGGAGTGAATCCGCTAGAACGCCCCATGTCCATTAGTACCTTTAGTACCAGTACAGAACGGTTCGACTCGGCTCCGTGCACGTTGCGTTCCCATTATGCTTTCAGTACCGGTTCCAGTGGGCGGAGTTCAAACTAACGTCACACGCCTTACCAGCTGGTGGTGACAAGACCTTGAAACGGGTGAGAATTTATTTTTGAAGTTTCTGGTAAATAAATGAAAAAAAAAAAAAAACTATACATATTATTATAAAAATGATCAAATTAATATATATTTATATAAATATCCTGCTAATGAACTTTAATGAACTTTAGTTCACCATTAAATCTCTGATGAACCAGAATCTACAAAAATCATGATCTCATTTGATGGAAAGAAGCTGCACAATGTGTTGGTGACGTGCTCAGTTACTTCCAAAACATATTTTCCAAGGTCATACTGGTGACCATTTTAAATTCTATAGATTCCAACTGGTACTGACAACACAAAACAACACACGCACACGGGCAAAATCATTATCACCCAGCCTTCAGTAGCAGGTGATAATAAGCCCAGCTACAAGACATTACACTGTCACCAGTCTCCACAGGCAGATTCATTTTCCCCGTTCCTTCAAACTCGTGACTCATCATAAATAATCAAGGCTCAGATTTCAGAGTGTTTTGATATTTCAGATTTTATGCGTAGTCTAGTCCTGTGTTTGTGTGTTTGAGTAGAGAGACATAAACACGCTAGTCAGCTGATGACTAAATCATGACAGATGCATTAACGATGCCCCACCAGTCCTCAGTGACATTCACAGATAAGGCAGCTGTGTGTGTGTGTGTGTGTGTGTGTGTGTGTGTGTGTGTGTGTGTGTGCGTGTGTGTGTGTATTTACGACCTTTTAAATTGCCAGTATAAACATGCAAGAGAAAAAAAAAAAACAGTTTTTATCTCACTTGTAAATTGTGTATGGAGGAAAAACGTGTGCGACACAGAAGGAGGAGAGGAGGGAAAAGAGGAGCAGGTTTAAATACGTGGGGTGTGGATGAATGAATGGGTGGTGTCTTCACAAACACACGCTGCAGCTCCCCATCTGCTGCCATCATTACCATTAACAGTCTCTAATTTAAACTAATTGCTGTTGATGAGCAAGTAAACAAAGTGCAAACAGTTGGAGGAGTTTGTGAAGACGAGGACGGCAGGAGAAGAATGTTTCCTGGTAGACGGAGTCAAAACTGATCTCAGGTAAAACAGAACGATTGGGAATGATGGTTTTCTGGAAAATTAACAAACAATATCTAACCTGTTATAGGTAGCTCTTTGAACAATGTTAGTTTTAAGAAATACATTTAATTCTGACAGGACTGATGAGCTGTCAGCTAGTCTGTGAAAAGCCAAAGCGTAAGTGGTGTAGGGCCACCATAAAATCACTCCAATCTCACACAGTTTCATAAATCTTTGCATTGTCGTCAAATTTGAATTACCGCATTTTCTGCCATACACACTGCACCTCCCTATAAGTCGCATCAGTCCAAATAAGTCTAATAAAGTGGGAAAATCCATAAATATGTTACTTGGTGGTATAAGTCGCATCCATTACACTTCACAGCTGACGCGTCGCATTTGTTGCGCGTCACCGCTGACAACACAGAAATGTCATAAACTGCACCATTAACCAAACTATTTGCTGCTACTATTTGTGTAAAAAAAAAAAACGAGTAAAAATTAGAAAATTTTGGAAATCTAAAGGTTTATAACGTCAAAAAATAAGACACTGCAATTGTATTCTGTACTTGAAGATGTTTCGCTTCCCATCCAGGACCTTTCTTAAAAACAAAAATGAAAAGTTGAGGAAAGTCCATGGAAGCACAACGTCTTCATCCACAGAATAAAGTGATTCACACTACAGCTGTCATCTCTAACCCGAACTCGGGAGTCCGGCCCGACCCGGATTAAGGCCGGGCTGGGACATAATGTGTTAAATGTGCGGGCCGGGCCGGCGTCGTGCTTTTGATGGTGTCCGCGGACGTGCACGGCTGACACACGCAGCCATTTGACCGCACGCTGACCAGCTTTGAAAGAGGTAAAAAAAAAAAAAAAAAAAAGTTCAGTTAAGCTTCAGATGGGACTATACTGCCAGGCAGCGATCCAAATGGACGTTCATTCAGCCACTGCACTCAGACGCGCGCGGCCGACGACCCAGACAGTTGAGATCACAAAATATCCGACATGTCAGAGCAGGGTCCATGTATGAATAATGCAGAATGCAGGCAGAAGCAGGGATGTAATGCTCTTTGACAGCCATGAAAGGACAAACACACCCTCCGCTCTGATCTTCTGCCCATTTAATCAGCCGCGCGTGTCTGTTGACCATTAATAACTATATAAGCAGTCAAAGCTCAATTAAAAATGTTGGGATTTTTCAGGTTCGGACCTGTAATTACTGTTAATTGGTCGGGTCGTGTGGGGTTTGGAAATTATGGCTATGGGCTAGGGCTGGATCGGGTCTGATTTTTTTGGGCCCAAATGCAACTCTAATCCACAAACACAATAGGATCCCATAAACACAGTCTATTCTGGAAAGCAAATATCTAACTGGTAAAAAAAAGAACATCTACAATGGTGTACATTTTGTTGCGAGTAAATTTGAAACTAAATGGCGTTTAGTCAACTTCTAATTTAGCTTGTGGACTCCAAAAACTAATCCCAAAGACCGAGGATCTCTGAATCTCACAAGTTGCTGAGCTGTACACAAGTACCATACTGTGATCAATCACAGAGAAGAAACGCAATGTATCAATCAATTCCTTGCACACACAAAAAAACAAAACAAAAATAAACGAGTCGCCCAGCGGAATATGAAAAATCACTTAAAAGTGGGTACAGATAGTTTAAAAATAATTTTGTAAATCTCAGTTTGTAAAACTCAATTCTAATTTGATTTTTTTGGCCAAGTCAAATTCTTCAATCGTTACTATCACATTTTAAAAAAGGTCAAATTTGAGCTGCTAAAATTTGGTTTGACACTAATCCATTTGTGTGTGTGGAGGGTGTTGAGAGTCTGACATGGCGCCTGAACTCACCGTGGTGGTTTTGACTCGGCCTCCGGGCTGCGTACAAGTCCATCCAGATTTATTGACTAACAGGTCACAGCCTTCATCCTCCAAACATGGAACCATCTCGCACCACTGCTTTTTTCGAACAATGCCAGCTGCGGAGGAGACAGAGGAACGATCAGACAAAAACTGACAAGAATAAAGAAAAAAGAACCAGCATGAAGAAATGAAAAGAGTAAAATAAAGATGGTGATTTAGGGATTGACTGATGAAAGAAGACAGAATATGGAACAGTGCAGATGTGACAAAATATGTAAAAACGAGAAGAGGCTCAGTAAAGGGCTTAAAAAAATCATGAAGAACAACCAAGAGGCAGATTGGTGACAACAGGAAGTAAAACCCAACACGCACCCAACATTTAACATTTTCAATGGGATTAAATATTTTGTAAGTTCAGCAAAAAAAAAAATGACAGCAACTACATAATCAGAGTATTCCAAACTACGTCCGTCAACAAACATTTTTCAACAATGCAGCAATCAATAGCAATGGCCCAGACAAGTTGTATAACGTTTGACCTTGATTTGTAACCTTGACCTATGGGGTGATGAAAATTGCATGCAACAATTCGTATGAAGTTTTGGTAAATTATTTTGAGCAGATCAGAAGTTATGGGTGCCAGTTATTTAAAATTATTTAGCACCTGCTGCACCTGTGTGCAGCCCACAGCTGCAGGAGAAGCTTCCTCCTACAGCGTGTCATATCTCCACTGTGCAGTGGAGAAGTGGGCGTGGCAGAGAGGCATTCTGTGCTCTTTTAGAGCGTTTAGTTAGGCCTGTCGTGATAAACAATAAATCAATATGAAAATTATCAACCTCATTTTCAATTATCGGCTTTATCGTTTTTGTGTCTCTCTCTTTTTTCTGAAGACACTGAATGACAAAAGGCTCAACTCCGGTGATCTTCACTGACCCCTCACTTTCTTTTTTCTTTTTATAATCCGTTTAAACCGCCCCAAAACCACATTTTTGGATTGTTAAAAGCAGCTGAGAAGCTAAGCTACAAGCTAAGCTAACAGGCCGACCTCAGGAAAAAAATCCGTCTTGTCAAAGCTCCAAAATTCACAGTTGAAACCCGCACCTTCATGTAAAAAGTTGTTTTTCTCTGTAAAAAGAAGCTGAGAACTTGTTTACTGATTTTTTGGATTAAAAGCTTGTGAGAAAAATGCTATGCTAAAGAGCTCAAACCACTCTGAGTGTCCGCCATTTTGAGAACCAAAAAACAGGAAGGAGACAGCCCGTGTCACGTCAAGGGGCCTCCCTCCCATTTTCCTTAGAGACGCTGCTCACTCCCTCACTATCCATCCTTCGGTTCAAACAGTCATATACTGCCATCCAGTGGTCAAAAAAATTAACTACACTCAAAGCAAATTAACCAACATTTCTTCTTAAATTTGACAATAATTACTAATTATTGTCAAATTTCAAACAATATTATCGTTTATCGCAATAATTTCTGAAACAATTAATCGCCCAACAAAATTTGTTATCGTGACAGACCTACCAATAGACACTGTTTACCATAAATAATTAACAGCAACGGTTTGTGATATAGATCATTTTCAAAAATCTTGAAGCTCAGACTATGTACTGGGGATCACTCACAGCTACTCCTGAAGCAGGTTTTAACTAATAGTTGACCGAGTTCTAACCATCTTTGTGTTTCCTATAAAGATCAGTTGGTTTTCTGAGAGTTTCTTTAAGCATGTACATTTATTTCCAGTAATTCATGAGACATCGCAGTTATAAACACAATAATTAATTACCATTTTATTTTTTATTTGTTAAAAAAAATAAAAATAATAATTTGTACGCATCCGTTATGATCGTCTATTCTTGTCTTTATTGTCCACTGTCGTCATCACTCTTTGTTAAAATCAGGTCTCTATGTAAATGAGTCCCCGAGGCTCAATGGGATTAACCTTTATAGATAAAGGTTGAATGAAAAATAAACACAATAACACGTGCTCAGACAGACAAAACCATCATTATCCGCTTTATCTTTAGACAGCAGGTGAACATATGATCATCGGCTTCCGAAACCCAGGACTTAGACTAACTAACCCCTTTCCATCTCGTAATGCAAACTTTTATTTATGCAGAGAAAATATGCCTTTTCTTAAGTTTCCAGAGTGTTTGTGGAGAAACACCAGGTTGTTTATATTTCTAAAAACAGAATAAAAGTGTTTCCCTATGGAGACTATGGGCTGGTAAAGAAATCTTTGTAACCCAAACAGTTCCAGGACCAGTGCAGCCTGTTTTTGTTCTCACTGCCAGCCTCTGTTGTTGGCGTCTGGAGGATGCCAGAGGTTTGGGCCCTGTGCTTTTGTTCTCTGCAGGTAGAGGACATGAAAGGCAAACCTGGTATTCTGTATGACCCAAGACCGTAATCAAATCTACGTTATCAAAATTTGTGCAACAGGAAATGGAAAGAAAAGACTTCATCACACAAAATGACTTCAGTTATGTTAATATACCACTAACCTGCAACACAAATGAACAAACAAAAGCAAAAACAGTGACAAGATGATATAACCCATGATCTATTTTCCGATGCATCATGTGGTTATGAATGATTCTGAATCATTTCCAAAATGTTGATCAACTCATGTTGATGATGTCGTGACGTGCAAAAGGCCTAACTCTGAAGTGTGATGTGCAGCGCCCTGACCGTTTATGGTGTTGGCTCAGCAGACAAACAAGCAGCACAGACTGCACTGAAAACAAGAGTTTTGAAATGTTTCGGCTTCTATCACATTAAAGGGAAAATTGTCAAAGGCCACTCTAAATGAAGCTGTGTACACTTTTCTGACTGGAGGAGTTAGAGGACAAACAGCCAGCAGCTGCTGAAGGATCTCACTGGGCTGTAACTGCTGGAGAACACTTAAGGTGAGGAAGTCTCCAAAATGTCTCAAAATAGTTGCAGGAGAGGTTCTCAATATTTTTTCTTTCTTTCTTCCGGCTGTTCCCTTCATCAGGGGTTGCCACAGCGAACTATCTTGCACAACGAATCAAGACTTGGCACCGGATGTCCAGCAAGCTACCACAGCCCTCTGTGTGGATCTGGAGCACCCAGGGGAGCAGATGGTGGGGGTTAAGGGCCTTGCTCAAGGGCTCAGTGTGGGGCAAATGAGGGTGGAGGCAGGTGTGGGTGCTTCATCTTTTCCACCCACATTTTGATGTTGTCAGTCCCTTATGTTGGACTTTTTGGAGCCACCAAATGATCCTTGTGTTGAAGCTGAACCAACACAAACATTACAACACTCTACAACAGACCAGGGACAAAGTGATGGAAACAAGGGAACAAGCCAGTAAAACATGTGATGCATCATCATCTACTGCCACAGAATCTTAGGTCAGTGTACTTAGCATTTTGACTGTCCATTTAATTTCCAAAATATTACTTGAATGAAAAAGGTTTTATGCCACAACAGACCAAAAACATTTCATTTCTTTTAGGTCTTACAGATTCAGTGTTCATATATGCACGTGTGTGCTTAGATGTGTATGTATTAGGGGTTGAACGACCACATATTTTTTAAAGTCGACATTAACATGATAATAGTCGAGTCAAAGGAACTCAAGACGCAAAAAAAAAAAGAAGACTTACAAAAAAATAAAGAACAACAAAACATTGGGAGCATATATTTACCTGTATGCTACCATTTATCATACTGGAAATAAGTCACAGGGAAACCAAAATTATTATTAAGCTGCAAAAGTTAGTTTTAATTTATGTAATCCACTAAATAAAATAAACCACCACAACGGTGGTGGATTCTCCACTGGTGGTTGTACGCGGTGCACAGTGGTGGTAGAGAATTCACCACCACTGTGGCGGTTTATTTTATTTAGTGGATAAAATAAAATCAAAACTATCCACCACTGCGCACGGGCGGCGGTGGATAGGTTTTATTTTATTTAGTGGATAAAATAAAATAAAAACTATCCATCGTGCGCACCGGCGGTGGAGAATCCACCTTCCAATACCATGAATATAGTACTCCCTACCACCTTGTGCATGTGTTATAGTCTTTTTTCCAAATTTGTGTGTATTTCAAATTTGTGTTTTCTGCATCTTTTTTTATTATTTCATGTGTTTTATCTCTGTATAATTAGAACATGCTTATAACATGCAAAAAATCCCCCCCTGGGATTAATAACTTAATTAAGTAATTAAGTTAAGTATCTACCGGTATCTATCCATCTTCAGGATTTCACTTGACGTGTGATTCATAATTATTTATAATCTCATTGCAGCCCTGTGAATCATAATTCAATCACGAGCTCCCACCCCCCAGTAAAACCACCAGCAACTGACGCCACTTTGAGTAAAAAAAAAAGCCTGTTGGTTTAAATTTCAATAATTATTTTTAAATAACTGTTTCATCTATTTTCAGTTCGACACAATTGATAGTAGTAAATAAAATAGTGAAGAAGTGCGGAGCTAATGTGATGGGAATTTGGATAGAAGTCATCTATTTAATGGTCCTACCATGAACGCAGCTATAGATTCAGTCTTCCATTGGAATATCTGTCAATTATACGCAATTAGGTAAAATGAATCATCAATAATCAATGTCAAAAGACAAGTTAACAATAAAGCTGTGCCTTCCATCATTAACACACAACTTTTGGATCACATTAACAGTACGGATGGTTGATCGCACCAAATATGGAATAAAAATAAGAAAATCCTCAAACAACTTCTGCGACATTAAAGGCTCCCTGTGGAGCATTTCATTGTAAACAAACATTATCATTTTGTTCAACAAAAGCTCAACAGGGTTCATGGAAATTAGAACGGCAGGCCAAAAACCCATTAGAAGAAGAAGCGAATTCAAGGGTCATTATGTACTGTATGTGGTATAATGAGGTGATTTTTATTTCCTCGGGGATAATAAGAAACTTTTTCTAAAGATAAGGTGTTTGATCACAGAACAATGGCTTGTGATGGCTCACAACCAACAACAATGGAATTAAACAAAGACAAGAACTTTGAAGGATATAGACGACAATCTTTAAGATAAGCATATAACATTTTTAACCAATGATGGGGCAAATAAAACCAAAAATAACTTTATGATTCATAAATA